GGATATAAAGTGGTACCGTATTTCGTTTACCTCAACAATATTTACGATCTTACTAATGAACTTACTGGTGAAGATTGCAACCCCTGGATCGATACGTTGATGATGATAAAACTGCTACACTTTTTTTTAAGACTGAAAGCTGAAACAAATTGACTAACTATTTAAGATCATTAAACTTTCCCGAAAGTCTAATGGAAAGTCTAATGGTAGACTTTTCTGAAGTTTTTGAAGTTTTTTGAAATATTTGGAACTGCCTTAAAAGATCTTTGAACTTCAATAATGTATGTAATTTATCTGTAATAATGTATGTAATTTCTCAGAAATTATTAAAAGTTGCCGCACTTTTTCAGAAGATATTTAAACTGCCCTGTAGTTCTGAGATCTCTCCTGAAGCTCCCATATTTTTTTCTGATAATTTCGATACTTCTTTGAAGCTCATGGAACTTCTCTGAAGATACTTAAATTTTCAAGAAGCTCTCGTTTATACGTTTCCTTAATTTAATTAAACTCTCGTTTACACGTTTCCTTAATTTTCAAGTAGTAGTTCTCCGAGCTTCTATAGCGCTCCAACAGTTTTTCTGAACTTCTGAAACTTTCTTAAAACCCCGGATATTTTCAAAAAATTCATAACTTTCCTGAAATTCTCAGAAAATTCCATAACTATCCGGAACTTTTTGAAAGTTCCTAAAATAAATTAATGGAATGCTCTGAAGATCTCTTATCATTTTCAAAATACTTGGAACATCCCTGAAAATATGCCAACATTTGTTTTGCTTTTTTCACATTTTTTTTAATTCTTCCAAAAGCTTATCTATCGCTATCACCATCCGCTTTATTTTCTCTTCGTCCTTGATGCGCTTCTGCTCGCTAAAGTCTACTAACTATTCCGAATTTTTAAAAGTCATACTTCTGGACATCGCTTCTTTTACACTGTTCCACTCCTCGGCCTCCGGGATTTCCAAGTTCATTTCCACCACCTCTTCAAACAGCCCTCACCTGTTCCTCTGTTTCCTTGTAGTTATTGTCCAACGATGCACCTCCAGCCAATACACCAGCGTACGTTCTGTTACCGCTGTATGCTTTGTTCCGCTTTTGCATCATTCAACGTATTATTTTGGCCTTTCTTTGATCATTTCTTTGCCACTCCATCTTGCATAAAAATCATTTGTGTTTTATCCCGGTGCAAAATATGTTCCCCTTCCGGATTACGATTGAGAAAATTATGCGAGGAGAAAATCTCATTTTGTGTGTCTACATACACGCCTCTTACACCAGTGTGCATGTTGAAGCCCAGGTTCGCCGACCTTTTCCGTGTTTCCCCAACACCAGTGTTACACCGTTATAAATGTTAATGTAAATATATGCGATATTTAGCTTAGCTTAGCTTAGCTTAGACTGACTACACAAATCATTGGTTGCTACTCCGCGATTGATCAAAATCAGTGAAATTGCAAATTGAATTAACTGATCCATTCTCAACGTACAAGTTTCAGTGACTACATATTTAAAGATCAATGTACAAGTTTCAGTGACTACATATTTAAAGATCAATAATGGCGCTGGCCACGTCCTTGCAATCAGGTGGGAGTAGGGAAGCAATATTAGAATGACCTTTGTTGTTTTGGGGACCGTGTTTACCTCTGCGTCCCCAAAAAGGTCACAGGAGGGAGATTTTGGTAGTACGTTAGGTTCGTTGGGTCAGGATTCACCTTGATAAGTGATGCAAACGTAGTTTTTATACAACGTATTCATTTCCGAAATACACGCGAATAAGACTTGCGATCTGTTGATGTCTGGTAGGCAAACGAAGCGACCCTATCAACTCAGTAATGTAAAGTGGTCTGGGATGAAACCAACGGTTTTCTGTTCAGTAAGTAAAAACGGTTGGCTGTACAACCGAACCCTACAAATGATAAAAAAAAACCGCCGGTTTGAAGCTATTCAAATGGAATAATGTTCCACATCATGCCATATATTACCTAGAAAACCTATTTTTTTCACAGTTTCGACCGAGTACTATCTCACTAGCGATTGTCTACGCACCGGCGACGACTTTCACAAATATTCGATCAGGATCGATCAGTTTGGAACAAATACTGCACAACTTTTATTCAATCTGAACCGAAGCGTTTTCTCCTTTTGAATTTGCCAAACAACCGTACACAAGTGACACGACCTAAAGATCATAAAAATAATAATAATAATAATAATAATAATAGCCTAGGCTACGTAGCTTATCACTAACTCTCGCCTTAATATTTCACGAACATTTAAGTGAGTTGCTCTTTATAAATAAACAATCACGACCTGCCGTGACAACCGTCAGTTTTCCGTCTTTATCATCGTGTTAGGGAGGCTGTGTACGCACACGACAACACAACAAAATATAATCGGTGCAAAGCCTACACTGATAAAATTTCAAAGATTGTTTTTATGTGTCCCACACATGATTTTTTTCAATGTGATCAACAAATTATATCTATGCGTCGTACACATACTTAATATGTGTTCACATAAAAGCCATGTGTAAGCACAAATACTATTCATTTAACTCATAAATGGCATGTGTGCTTCTGGGTGGATTCTGTTTATGCGTGGTTACATGAAAATCATGTGGAATTTTACATGCAAATTCGTCAATAAAAATGCGTGGAATTTTATAAGTGTACATTCTCGATCGCGACCGCGATATTCATCATCTCCCCCAAAATGCATCATGCTTTAACACAAACATAATCTTAACTTAAATAAGGATTCCCCTCAATTGGATCGCCTTCATCAACTCAACTCATGATCAGCGTCCGGTGGCGACCTAGACAGAAGCTTCCACACACACCCTCTGCACGATTTGATCAACACTTCTTCCATATCACTTTCACTCCCGCCCAGCCCAAACACTGCAAGATCGAATGTGTTTTCAGCTAGTTTTTCACCACCCTCGCGTAGGCAAAAAAACAAGGTAATAGCGGAACACTCGATAAAATGTATGTGAAAATCTAATGTAATCCATTTATTACACGTGAGAATATGCGACCACTGTGCACGGCTGCCTTCACAGCAATACGATATTTAGGGCACACGAAGTTGACGCTACATAACGGAAAAATAATTTATCACAGTAAATTCAAGTGCATACAACATAAACTTCTCCAAATTGAACCTAATGAAAACCGCTTTCTCCTCCAGCATTCGCACCTAATGGCTTGTCAAAATTGTCAATCTCACCCAAGGTAGGTCTCACACTTCCATTTGCAATATCAAAAGAAAAGGCATTTCTCACTTCAGTACCAGTCATCATCGGATTATATTTGCTTCCATCGCACAGTGGGTCAAGAATGCGATCAAGTGGGACATAATTAATAGCTCCCAAACGAAAAATATCCAAGATTTGGTGTCTTGAGCAAAGTTTCTCATTATAATAAAGATCATATATTGACTTAAACAGATAGTCTAATACTCATCCTCATACATGACACCAAAATCTAACGTTGCAATCTAACATTCTTAAGACTTGATGTATTCGACAAAATAAATTATGTAAATGCTTTAAACACAAAACTTTTGCTGAAGAATGAAATGGTTTTGAATAGAAGAAAATTTTAAACATTATAAGCTTATTAACATTGCAGTATCACTTTTTTCAATATAAATTCGAATTGTGTAGGATCCCTACTGATTTTCTAAGCGGTTGGAGTCAGAAGAGTTAGCAAACCACAGTGGTGTTGAGTACTTGGCACTGATGAAGTCTGCAAGTAGTAGACGAAATACGCGTATCTGTCAAAAGATAAGCAATTATAACGGAATTTAAAGGAAATAAACCAACCCACTCAAAGCTTTTCATAAAGGGATTCCGTTAAGAGGTTCGACAAATTTAAAGGATTAAATTCAAAGGACACACCAGAACATTAATTTGTTGTCTATGAGAACATGAATCCAATGAACCGAAATTATTCATTCAATAAGCAGGCGTTGCATAGCTGAGCAACTTTTTCGAAGATATCAAATTGCTGCGACGTCACGAGTTATTATTTTTTACAGTTAGATTGCATTGTAACAATTTTAATATGCAATAACAGATTAAAATATACATTTAAAACCATTTTTTAATAATTCTCAATTTACATAGATAAACCTTTTTTAATGGTGCATGAAAAATTAAGAGGATATATTAATTTTCCACTATTTTTGCTTATGCTTTTGTAGTGAAATCTATGCTATTAAAAAAAAATCTTTTAAACACTACATTGCATAGAAGTTTGGCTTGACAAAATCACAACGTGTGAAGGATTTATACCGTTTGATAAAAATTGTTTTATATTATTGACTTTGACTTCCATTAGCAAATTTCGTTTAACTTTCATATCAGCATCGTATGCATGTTTTCCATAAAAACTTTCAGTGAAATTATGACTTCAGAGTATGCAGTATACATAGTACTTGTATTAAAATTTCAAAAGTCCAACATTTTCACGTCAGATATTGCAAAAAAAAAACGATATAATTATCGGTCATATTTAATAAAAATTAATTTTCCATTGTTGCCATAAGTTTTTTGTTACGTTACTCGAGTTTTGTTAAAAGTAGTACAACAGTTTACCTGGTTATTTTTTTTTTGCACGGTTGCGTTTGTTTAATTTTCTTGTTCTGTGATGAACTTATAGTAGAAACTTTTTGGTGGTACCTACTATATTTTCCTTGATTGAATTATGATATTTTGAAACCAGCTTCATTCAATTATGGTGTCATTTAAAGACCATGGGAGGAAAAATACGAACGTGTAACGTAAGAATCGGGTGTCGGGTATACATTCCTTATATTAAATATTAAATGTTTTATCCTATATATATTTATTAATCATGCCAAACAATACTACGAATATAAATTAATGCAGTCATGGTTATAATTATTATTTTTTATTAAAGACAACCAAGCGGCGCCGGTGGTGTAGTGGTAAGCGTGATAACCTCTCACCCCAGCAGGCCTAGGTTCAATCCCAGTCGGCGCCGCCGGGATGTTCTGAGGCATAACATCTCTGATCACGGGAAGTAAAGCCGTTAATCCCCGGTTCATGAGTTGATGGGTCGATAGGTAGGGTCCAGATGTGGAATCTGTCTTCCTGGCGTCTGTAGCCTTGGTGCTCAGCACGGAAAACAAGATCGACGGAAAACAAATCAAGGAGAAAAAAAAATAAATCCATCCTGTAGTGCTTTGTCTAAATAATCATTATATCAACTTAAAACATGACGTTTAAGAAGAAATACAATTTCGATTTCACTGAAATGTATCAAACTGCGGACACTAATTCTGATACGTCTCTGTTACAAAAGTAATCGTAGTTCCATTTAGAGCTTCGGATAGTACATATTCCATCGTCCAAAGGTTTGTTGAGTACAGCAACGACTCTCCTTCATTTAAGTCCACCAATAACTCGCTGCAAACTCGATCACAGTCTGCTTTAGCTCTCAAAACAACCCGAAGCACTTCCTTCAGCTGCATGATGACAATTAATCCTTGCATTTTCAAATGTTTAGGTGATTTCGTTCGATAATTGTTTGACATCAATATCCACGTAGTATATGGCATCTCCAGATGTGGCGGATAAAAATAGGGTTTGTCAATCAACAAGCGTGTTCGTTTGACCGTTTTCAGCTCACAATTACGAAAATGCAGGAACCACGAATCGTTACGGTGAACATTAATGAGTATTTCAAAAAGATTGACCAAAGTGTTTTCCGCTTTACCGGATGATAGGGAACCAAATATCAAATTTGTTTGCACGTTGCATGGTCTGGCCAACACTAATGGTTCTAATGCTTCCACGAAAATGGTCTCGTTTTCCCAGGATCTGTCCTTCCATAGAGCATGAGAGTCGGCAATAACTACTGGTAAGTTTCTCATTAAATGATGTTCATTCAAATAGTCAAAAGAAATTGCTTCAAGTTTGGGCACAGATTCTGTAATAAATGGAAAAGAAAAAGGTCCAAATGTTTCATTGCCACGATATCACATTCTTTTTCTAAACTCACCAACACTTTCACACACTGCACAGTCATCAAATGAGAGTAGAATGTTTGTACGTGATAAACTTTGCTTTTCTATGAATTCGGGAAAATCTCTAATCAAACATCGCTGTTTGTAAAGAGGAATCCAATCCCAATATGGCAATATTTGAATCATGGTAAGTCGTCCAACGGCAGCAGCATTCCAATTCAGCACAGGAACGTAGTATACAGCCAGCACAACAATTGCTATCACTGCAGCTAGCTTTGCTCTTTTGATCAATTTGCAACGAAACAAATGCCATCTGAGAGGAGCAAAAGCCTTGTAGATTCCCAAATCCGATAGTTCCAGTGTGTCAATCGATTGAATAATACTTTCAAACTGCTGATCCAAACCTTCCGTAGGCGAAGACATTTTGAAACAGACTGAGCGGATATTGAGATCGGGAAATGGCACATGTGTCCTGGGCTTCCACTTGAACGAGTTTTCAATCTCCTTTTTCCAATGAAGTTTAACAGTAATTTGATTTACGGTTAGATGAATCTATACAACGAGTGTTAAGGGGATGATAAGCGAAACACTGAATTGGGATTACTAAACCAGCCCTATGAACTAGTAAGGGTTGGAAAAAATGAGCAACATAAATATCCTTGATGTAAAAAATTGGAACATGAGCGTGTGCGGGAGAGGGGTGGTCACTGCACTTAGGTAAATATTGCAACAAATTTAAAAAAATCTGATGTAAGAATTGTCATGACGCTGGCAGTGTTTTACACCCTTCGATAATTAGTCGTGAATAATTCAAGACCAACAATTGAAATGGCCTTAACTCCATTTTGTAAACAAACCTTGTAAGGCCATTTTCTCGCGAACCGAAACCTTCATTCGCAAACCTAAACCACAATCGGGTAGAGGAGAATTTCCCCTACCTGTTCATTATGTTGGTTTGCCTTTGCGGACTTCGGTTCGCGAGAAAATGGCCTTGCAAGGTTTGTTTACAAAATGTAGTTAAGGCCATTTCAATTGTTGACCTTGAATTATCCCTAGCTCTAAGGTTACACCTTTAGCATTTATAAAAACCCGAATTTATCCACCTATGGTGTGATCAGACCCTTCTTACTTATTCAAGTTTATTTATTTTATTGTCATTATCAGTGACCAAGCCCCCCACCCCCGTGTCATCCAGTGACGCTACGCCACTGCCTGGGGGTACCCGGATTATATCCGGGTTCAGTCTATTTGGTGAGGCTACCAATCACCTTATCATCGTATTTTAATGTGATTTAATGGGTTTTAATTCAATTCATATTCAAGCAACTTCCCCGGGGTACCCGGAACATGTCCAAGTGTGTCCAATGTGGTCTGGAACACTTAACACGACTTGCATTGATCTTATTTCTGAATTCTGTAGTAATTTGATGTGTCGCATGATGGTTTTGATACGTTTTCCGTTAAATCCAGCGTGAAGGCCCATATTCACCGGATCTTATTCCGGCCATATCTCCGGAACCGGTTCACCGATTCCAAAAACCCCAAGACCTATCATTTGGCGCCGAGTTTGTCCAAATCGGTTGAGCGGTTGCTGAGAAACGTGAGCGCATTTATTTCGTTACATACACACACACATACACACATACACACATACACACACAGACATGTTCCAATCTCGTCGAGCTGAGTCGAATGGTATTTGACACTCGGCCCTCCGGGCCTCGGATCGATAGTCGGTTTTTCAAGTGATATCTCTACCCTTCTTTGTAAGAAGGGTAAAAAATAAAGCAATGGAAAAACGCACCATAAAAACACCCAAATAATCAATAAAACTCCGGTGTAAATTCCTATAAATGGTGAATCCATAAATAACAATGACAATATAAACGATGCTTTTTGTAAAATTTAGTAATACAATTATAAAAATGTACCTCTAAATTTCTAAATAAAAACCATTTAAATTGTATGAATTACCCATAAACATATCCCATATGATCCATTAAACGTTCAACCAGGGTGCCTTCCATTCATTTTGGCTAAAAAAATGTAAATTATGGAATAATAGCAACAAGAACAGATTGTGAAGTTTGTGTTTGACACATATAGGGGAAATGGATGTAATGTCAGCCTAAATGCCCCTTAGTTGTGCCCATACATAAATTCAGCAATCGACTAAATTTTCAATAGCGACCAAAAATATCCATTAGTACCGTCCCAATGACGCATTCATCTAGATAAAATTGATAAATAGCAGCTTTTTAGCGATCGGCCCAATCCTAGATCCATAGGCCAACATTAGAGTCATTTCCCCTACCTGCCAATTTTGCTATACGAGAGTCGCAATAAACGATTTTGTCATTTATCTCACCCAATCTTTGCTCTTCACTCTTCGCGAACAGGCGATTAGAAAATCGCTCATTGTGACTCTAACAAAGCTAAATTTGCACGTTTTATGTGTCAAACATACACACTAAGATTTTTTTACAGAACATTGTAATTTTTTACCGAATATGGAACAGCTGAACATTCGGTAATCGATTCGGTAATTTTTATGTTTTACAGTACATTCAGTAAATTTATATTCAGCTGAGCTGTCAAAATTTAACAATACCGCTCTGTAAATTTTTACCGAAAATGCTGTAAAATGTTTACCGGTCGATCTAAAATTTGTTCGGTAAAAATTACCGATTGTTTTGTTACTGCATTTTTTATGCATGCATGGATTATTCTTTCTTTTTTTCAAATTTGAAGTTAACAATAAGATAAATAGGTTATTTGGTATATTTTTTTCTACGAATGTTATTAGCTACAATGTTTTTAATATGCATGCATTATCCGTCTGTTTCGGAAAGCTGTTAACAGCATTGTGATTTGGAACATGAAGGTACCCAGAGTTCATATTCCTTCATTCTCTGAATTCGGTGGATGCATTTTCCCGATGCATCTCTTCACTTCTGCAGGGAACACAAATGCTGATAGCGCATGGATGGTGATGGCGGTGGTGCCCGAGCTGACCGTAGGAAAAACACATGATGGGATCTTCATTCATCTCGAGAACCATCTAAAAAATATAATCGAAATTAATGATAAAAATAATAATAATAGTTATAATAGTTTTAATTTTACTTACTAACGAAAAAGATCTTCTGTTCCTCCATCGAGAGCTTAAATTTTTTGGAGTATTTACTCATTTTTCAAACACTTTCCAATTGCGCACTTTATAACACCGGAGAAACGAGTCATAACCAACTTTAAAAAGGTGGGCAAAAAATAAGTTTGACAGCACGTAATTTACAAATCGTTCGGTACTTTTTAGTTTTTTACAGTATTACGGAATTGCAGCCATTTACAGGTTCAATCCGTAATTTTATTTACATTTTACGGTAATTTTCTGTAAATTACAGAAATTCGTCACTTTTAAATGCTGAAAACCGGTAAAACACAGTATTTTACAGAACAATCGGTAAAAATTGTATTTTACAGACTAAGTTCAGCAAAAAAAAGTA